TTTGGTGAGTGGGTGGAGTGCTATCGTCAAGTAGAAAAAGAAGAAGAAGAAGGAAAAGAGAGGGAGGGAGGGAGAGAGAGAAAAGAGGAAGAAGGAGAAGAAGGGGGAGGGGGGAGAAGGAAGGAAGGAAGAAAGAGAACACAGTAAGGAGAGCAAGTTTTGTGGGGACAACTGATTGGGTTTTATGTGGTGTTTTAGATACCTGCAGTTCATGCAAGTATCTTGTTCTTGTTTTGAACAAAACACAGCATTCATCTCAAACTGACAGGTGGACCTTGTAGCAATGATTTTATTGGGATTATTAAAAACTCTAAGATTGAAGGACATGTATTGCGCTTCTCTGGATTAAGAGAGAGCAGGTAATGATATAGACAAATTTGTAGAGGTGATGTTTATTCATCAGGGGGATTTAATGGACATCCAATTCGACAACAATTCACTGAGCACCAATTGAATGCCAGGTACCAGGCTGGCTGCTTGGGCTTTGCTTTTAAGGAACTCAGTCTTGTTGGAGAAACACAAAACTGCACACGTCTCTGTAGCAGAGGAGCCATGTAAAGGAAAGAGCAGTTTCCTGGGCACCAGGAGTCCTGGGTTTAATTTAGTATGTGCTTTGCCACTAACTCGTTATTTAATTTTCAGCTAGTTGCTCTTCCTCTTTCATTCTCAATTTACAACCACAAAATTAAAGAAGTGGCTTAGATAAACTCTAAGTTCCCTCCAAACATCAACCATTAGTGATTCCATGTCTCACGGTATACAAGGGCTATGGGAGTCCAAAGACAGATCATTTCCAGTAGGGGCTGACATTTGACTTGGGGCTCAATGAATAAGCAGGATTCTAGCATATGCAAATGATGGAAAAGGCTAAGAGGAGGAAGTGCAGAGTGGCTATGTTAGAAAATGGGGAAGATCACCTGGTGATTGAGTGTAGGGTGTGGAGGACAATGACCACGGAAAAAGCTGGAGAGGGAAGTAGGTGGTACTACGTGGAGAAGGGCCATGAATGCCCCGTCAAGGATTTTATTAATCCAGGCAATGTGCCTTGGAAACAATTCCCCCTGTACAATCCACCGGAGGGTGGAGATCAAGATGAGGTGTGATGGACATCATAAAAATGGATCAAAACATCCCATGGCTCAGAGGCGAGAGAGATCAACTTTGAATGGAGAAGGCTAAGAGGTATATTTATTCACAGTGTATTCATTTCCTCTATGGGAAAATGTGAGGCCTGAGGTGGGGAAACGAAGATGATGGCAGCTACTTTTTACTGACCTAGGGAGGCTGATGAAACCCAGCAGGTTGCTGAGAAGTTCTCTTAGCAGCAGGATCTGATGGTGTTCTAGTGGAAGGATGGTGCAGGGAGCATGTGATCTATGTGAGTGGCCCCCATGGAGTTGGGCAGTGGGCATCCAGAGCCCAAGCTACTTCTCCATGGGCCTGGGTATTCAGTATGCTCCTAGGATCAGTAGCATCAGCATCACGTGGGAGCTTATTATAGATGCAGGATCTTAGCCTCTACCCAGACTCAATAAATAAGAATCTGCATTTTAACAAGATCTCCAGGTGACCCATAAGCACTTTGTTTTATTTTATTATTTTTTTAACATCTTTATTGGAGTATAATTGCTTTACAATATTGTGTTAGTTTCTGCTGTATAACAAAGTATATCAGCTATATGTATATATATATATCCCCATATCCCCTCCCTCTTGTGTCTCCCTCCCACCCTCCCTACATAAGCACTTTAAAGTTTGAGAAGGCTTCCTGCTTTCTGAACACAGCTTTCCTCACTCAAACGCCTTCTCTTAGTTTATTTCCTACTCAGGGAAGAGAAGAGTACTTCTTGGATTTACTAGGGAGCACACTGGATCAGATGCCAGTTTGAGGGTAGGAATATACCATAATGACCCATAATATCTTCCTCATTTATTCATTCATTCATTCAATCAATCAAATAGTAGTAGAGGACATCCTATATTTCAATATGTATTCTATCTGCATCTCTGGTCCTCCTGGCCTTGACTGTCCTGGGTTACTTCTGGCAGGATGGGAAGGATCTAGGACCTAGGGTGTGAAATCCACTTACTTGGGCAGGTAGATATTGGCACATGGGCAGGAGAGGAGTTATCCTGGTGTCAGATTCTGAGCTTAGAGTTTCAGACAGACAGGGGTAGCATGGAATGCAGTCCCATCATGGGGAGGTCCATGACGAGCCCAGTGTCCATGTCTCCAGGGGTGTGTGCTGTCCCATTTGGCAGAGCCCACTGTAGCCTTACCAGACTGACTGCAACTGAGAAAAGCACCCACTGAAAGCAGGTTATCCGTGGAAGATTTTAGGGGCAGTCCTCATGGAGGAATGGTGGGGATGTGTATGGGAGTAGGACTCGGAATAGTGACCAAAGCTGAAGTTTATTAAGGAAGCCAGGCAACATCATGGACCCTGGGTTGGGAGCACATGTCATTAAGAAAAAGACCACTGGGCCAGGGCTGTCACTTTGGAAATAGGCGGGAGTCCTGCAGGGCCCTGTGTTCTGTTCACACTAGGGTGTGGGCACTTGATGCACAGGTTGCTGGGTGTGGCCTTGGGTCTACGACCCAAGGTTTAAATCTTCCCATTTTGATGTCCCTTCTCCCCCAAGGGTGGCTTTGGGTGCAGAGGCTGACACAGCAGTTGGGAGCTGCGTGGACTCATCTGTGAGGAGTGGATGCAGCCAAGAGCTGGGGCTTAGGGGCTGTGGTGTAAGCCCCCTTCACCTGGGAGTAGATGACACAGGAATCCTGGGGGAAGGAGCACATAGGTGAGGGCCAGAGGCCAGCAGGCCCTAGGTGGGAAAGTACACAGGTCACGGGACTCACCGTGTTCTTGAGAAGCTCTGGGTCAGAGGCTGCTGTGGAAAGAAGGGAAGCATTCATCTGTGAACTCAGAACTCTCTCCTTGCATCTGTGCCATCAGTCCAGCCACAGCCATCTCCATGTGGCTGCACTGAACCTTTCCTAGGAACCTCAACCTCACAGCTTCGACCAACTCTCTCCTCAGCATCACTCCACCCTTTGTTCCTCATGCTGATCTCCCCAGGGACTCTCAAAAGAAAGAAATCTACTTTTTATCTTGTTCCTGCTTTGATCATAGCTTCATAGTGTATATTATGGAGAAGCAGCCTGGCCTGGAGCAGAGGCAGTGCAGTGGTTCAGAGCAGACTTCTGATCCAGACCACCCCAGACTGAGCCCCAGGTCAGCCGTGCCACCTCTGTGGCCTTGGGCAAGTCACTCAGTATCTCCTGCCTCGGGTGTCTCATCTGTATGTTGGGAATAATAATACCTACCTATAGGGTTATGTGTGTGTGTTTGATTTCTAACATCTGTTATGTGCTGAGCAGTTCCAATGTGCAGGTACACTTCTGAGGGCTATAAACAAACAAACTTTAAATATATGTGCGTGTGTACATATTTATGGCATATATATGTATATATATATATATTTTAATGTATTTATTTACAGTACTCAGAACTGTACCAGGCACATAAGAACTGCTCAATACATGTTGATATGATAATAGAAGTTGTTATTATTATTATTATACTGTCTTAAAGCTGGAATGAAATATGGCATTCATCAAGCAAGCCTTTCTCTTTTTGGCTTGGAATGAGCCTCAAGGCTCCCTGGAACTGTCCTGAAAAGCAGAGCTTGGCCTAAGGCTTGGACTCTAGAGACAGACTCTTCTGTGATTTGTTATCTCTGTGACTTCAGGTTGGTCATTTAAGGTCTCTCTGCCTCTGTTTTCTCATCTGTGAAATGGGGTAACAACAACACACATCAAAGGAGATTGTAAGTGTGAATGAGTTCATACGTTTTAGAGGTGGGCCACTGAACCAAGAACGGAACAAAATAGAGTTCATTTAATTTTATACAAGAAGAATAAAAAAACCAGAGAAGAAAGCAGAATGGCTAAAAATCACATGGCACTTTTTACAGAACAAAGTTAAAATAGCCCCAAAGGCTTTCCCTTTCCTGCTCCGAGCAGGAGAAAACCAGGCTGGGATTCTTCACGGCTGACCATCTACCATGAGTGAGGACTAATGACACAGACAGACAACCTGCATATACTCATTATAAAAGCTGCTTAAACTCTGCTGCTGTAATAACATCTCCACATCTACTTCCTCGTTTGATCCTCACAATAACCCTATGAGAGAGTGTGATAAGCAGAATAACGTTCTCACAAAGATGTCCATGTCCTGATACCTGGAACCTGTGAATATGTGACCTAAGATGGAGAAAGGGATTTTGCGGATGTGATTTAAGATTAAGGACCTTCAAATGGTGAGATTATTTTAGATTATCCAGGTGGAATTTTAAGGAGAACTTTAAAATCTGAGAACTTTTTCTAGTTGTGGTCAAAGGGAGCACTGACTATGGAAGAAATGGTTAGAGAGGTGCCACTTGCTGGCTTTGAAGATGGAGGGATGGGACCATGAGCCCCAGAAAGGAAAAAGGTGTCCTTTAGAAGCTGGAAAAGGCAAGGGAATGCATTCTCCCCTGGAGCTTCCAGAAAGGACCTCTGCCGACACTGATTTTAGCCCAGTGCGACCTGTGTTAGACTTCTGACCTACAGCACAGTAAGATAATAAACTTGTATTGTTTAAGCCCTCATGGTCATTTGCCACAACAGCAGTAGAAAACAGGTACATGTAGGTAGGGAATGATAGACAGTCCTGTCTCATTTCACAGATGGGACACTGAAGCTCTGAGGGGCTGACTGCCCAGGGTGATGACTTTGTTACTCAGGTGATGCTGAGGCCATCCGTGGAGAATGGGGAAAGCAGCTCTGCACGGTGAGCTTGGGTTAATCGCAGCAGAGTAGGTGGGCACAAAGAAGCCCAGTGACCCAGCCTGAGAGGCAGTTCTGTGTCTGGTTGGCCCAGACCCACTGAAGGGGTGGAGACTGAGCCACACACAGCAATAGACTGCCAAAATCAAGGGTCCTTGGGTCTTACCTGCCTGTTTGTTCTCCACCTTCACGCTCCGGACTTCCGAGTACACCACATCTCCTTTGTTAGGATTTACTTGGAGAGAAGTTGAAGTTTGAGAGGACTCTAAGGTTCTTGCCCCTTGTCTTGCTTCTTCCTCCTCCCCCAGATAGAGTTTGTTCTCTGGAGGGGGCAGAGCCCTCCGGGCCTCTGTACTGTCCCTTCCTCATTTCTTGTCCCACCACTTCCTGGACCAACCCTGGGGTCCCTGCCCAAATGGAGGGTCCACTGTCCTCACCATTGCTGTACACTGGTTGCAGTTCTATCCAGCCTGGTACATTGTGGTAGGTAGGTTCTTGCGGTTCTGAAGCTGACGGGTTCCTGAAAGATAGAAGCATTGATGTTTCCCAGAAATCCTGATGAAGTAGCTATTAGGATCATTCCCTGTTAGTGAGTCTTTACCACAGGATAGTTGCCAAGCCTGGAAACATAGATGAGCATATAATAAATGGTCTATTGTTATGGACTATTATATTATAAATCATAATATTAATCCAGACTTCATGACCACCTGGTATGTCACTGTACTAGTGCCGATAACAATATTAAGTTGATTCTATTATTATCTCTATTTTGTAGATGGAAAAAATGGAGGTTCTGAGAAGTAAAATGACTTGCTCAAGACTATGTAACTAGAAAGGGAAAGA